ACTTAGACGATGGTTTCTGGATGGGAGTTACTGAGGATGCACAGTCCGCCCTCCCTCCCCCTTAGAGCACTCACAGACACAGACAACAACGGGGCTGCATGACGGAAAGATGGACACTTTAGTCTTGCAGTGAGGTTCCTAGATCAAATCTTGGCAGGAACCTTTCATGGTAGCATCTTGTCCTTCACGTATGCGTGGGAGGTAGGCTGTAACTTTTGTACACAATTTGATTTACCACGGCAAAGTTATTAGCAAAAAACTTTGGAAAATGTCTGAAATTTGGGCAGATTGAGTTATCCTTTCAAACGTTGAGTGTGTGGCTTTTTTAGATTTGCGTTAGCACTGTCTTGTGCCAGGTGGCAGGACCCTTTTTATTATGTTTTCAGGAATTGTCTAGTTTTTCTTACGCAGCTCGAACGACAGCGTGCACCCCTAAAACTATACATTAAAACAACCCGCTCAGCCGTGGGAGGCGTGGCCTATGATTACGGGTCGATTACCCAAGCTGGACCTGTTTAGACTAAAGAAAATCACTTTTTTCACTTTCTTCCTCACCGCATTGAAAATGAATCCAAATTCAATTCAATTCATAGATACTTTATTAATCCCAGAGGGAAATTAGAGTTTCAGTGCACACAATTCAGAGGTCAGACACACATAGGCATAGACACATGACAAGAATTGGTGATGTGGTCATTCGCCACCCGAGTCGCGCTGCGCTAATAGAGATCAGAGGGTTTATATATGAGGATTGGTTCAGGTGGAGGAAAAAAGGCCCTTCAGAGTTACCTCTCCATATTGACTGAATGCTACATGTGTCTTTGTGTGAAGTCCGACCTTGTTTACTTTATGATTTCACATGGTTGCTATGACTACAAAGAATCATGTCATCAGCTTTAATATAATGGACATTCCATCTAACAGGTCAGAATGATTTGACCAAATAAGGGCTCTTCTGCTGCTGCAGCAAGCAGTAAACCAGTGCAGGCCCAAACGTATTGTGAGGGTTTGCTGGGAACTTCTGGCAGTCTCCTGTCAGAAGGAGCTTCAATTCCCACCTCCGACAGAACTTCCAAAATGTTCCAGGGGAGGCAGGGGACATTGAGTCGGAGGGACCGGTGGCGCCTGTGCTCGGCAGCCTCACCTCTGTCAGTGCGCCCCAGGGCAGCTGTGGCTACATTGTAGCTCATCCCCACCAGTGTACGAATGCGTGTGTGAATGGGTGAATGACCGATTTTGTTGTAAGCGCCTTGGGGGATGTAGAACCCCAAGATGGCGCTATACAAATACAGGCCAGTTACCATTTAATACAAACAGAAGCGATCCAGGCTGTTAGCACCTGCCAGAAAAAGCATACATGCTAATTATTCAGAAGAAAACCTGCTAGAATAATGTTTATACCGTGTAAATAGTTATTTTTACTCCTCCTGCCTCTTATTTATACAATGTTTTTATTTGTTTGTTGATTTGGGGTTCAAATATGTTATTTTCCCCGTGTTTTCAGAGTATGTTTGTATTTTGTACACAAACAAATTGTTTGGACTTTATCTTCACTACAAACTTTTGTTTTGCACAAAAATGTTTATTGTGTGCAACTGTTTAATTCTTGTGCCTTTACTGTTTGCACTGAACATTTGTTGTGATTTTTGCTGTAATTAAATAAAATAACTTTTAGTTATTTGTTATCATATCTTATAATTATACAAATAGGTACCAAAAAAGTTGTGTTAAAACTGTTGCGTCGATATGTTGTTTGTCAATTTGATTGGCTTAGATTTTGCCCTAAGAAATAAAAAGTCATGGGATCATTGAACATTTGTGTTATTTATTTTTGTTTTTGTTTGTTTGTTTTAAAGTACCGATTTAAATACCGTTTAGGAACCGGTACCATTTTAAAAGTACAGTGATCCCTCGCTACTTCGCGGTTCGTTTATCGCGGATTCACGACATCGCGGAATTTTTTTGGAGCCTTATTCAAGGGAAATTCACCGATTCGCTGTATTTTTCACAGCTTCACAGTATTTTTCTATGCGAAATATTAGGGCTGTAGCGAAGCCTCGACGACGTCGACGGCTCGATTCTAAAAATTTGTCGACGTCAGATCCGGAAGTCGACGCACCGCGCCCACTTGTTGCATCCCCAGGAGTTTGTAAATAGAGGAGGAATCTGCCTGTTTTTCCTCTAGTTCGCCCTCTTCTCCGCCTTCACTAACATCTCCGCCAAATACCGAAGACCCGGAACAACGTCCGTCCACTACTAGATTATTTTCCTGTTTTGCCCGCCTTCGTCTCCCGGCAACGGACAACAACTTCCGGGGTCAGATGCGCTGCTTCGTGTCTACCGCAGATGTAGAAAATCACCGGGAGCGCTTCTCCCTTCATTAAGGAGCTTCTTTCAGACATTAGGAGAGCTGTTTTTGTGGTAGCAGTCTCTCCTCCGTGCTGGTCTGTTTGCTGCTGGGTGTTTTTGGTTTATTTAAACTTGGTAACTTAAACTTAATGTTGGTAAAGCTACTGTTAGCATTTTCGCTAACAGCTTCTTGCGTTGGGATAAGCTGTTACGTTTTGGTTTAGAGTTCATCTTTTTTGTGGTGCAGATCTCCCTTTTATTACATTTAGAGTGTTGTGGGTTTTCGGTTTAGTTTAAAATATCACCTTGAGTTTGGTTTAACCACCCAGTTTAGAGTTTGGATCCCTACTTATTTGTACTTTGTTTTAATTCCCCACAGGCAGAATTAGTTTTATTCCCAACCTGTGGATGGAAAGATTTATGATTTTTGTTGTTGTAAATAAACCTGATCATCATTTTAACTTTTAAATCCAGTTATTGTCCCTTCCTTTTTGCACACGAGCCAAACTCCTCAGGAAGAGTCGTAACACCACTCGCCTCACACTCATAAGTGACCAAAACAAAGCAGCATGGAGACACTCCATCTTCTACCACCTCTCAGGCAGCAGCCTGCACTCCCAAGTTCTACACGTCACCAGAACATAACCAACCGCAACACAATAAAAGCAGTGTTATACAAAATGGAAGGCCCGTAGTGTTTATTCTCTTACAGTAATAATTTATCAATTTTTTTGAGGAATTTATTTGAGATTTTCTGGTTTTTGTTAATTGTGCAATAGAAAAATAATCATTAGATTAATTTTCTAAATAGTCATTAGAATAGTCGACTATTCGATAAAATAATCGTCAGAATAATCGTTTTAAAAATAATCGTTTACCCCCAGCCCTACGAAATATAAAGAAATTCCTTTTTTTTTTCATCAATTGCATCATAAAATGCACTTTTTGTAATGAAACTAAAACAAACAAGTAAAAAATGTTTTCTTGAGTTTTACCCACAAAAAGAGAATGTGATCATACGATAATTCAGTATAGTACTGTATGTCAGACTGGTCGGCTGGATTCGGGAGTTGAGCTTGTAGGGAGCGCGTGGTTTCACAGACGCGGAAGTGAGAGCGTCGGTGAAACGCCGGCTCACGCTTAATCTAGGAAACCCCCGAGCGTTCAAGCGTCAACGAAGTGACACGGAAATGCCGGGCTTTCCAGAAGTAAGTAAGATAACTTACTATGAGCTGATGGTTCGTTGGATTGATCGGTACGTTGGAAACTCCGATCATGAATCTGAAGAAACGATGACTGAGTGGTGAGCTGGAAAGGTGACTTCCGTTTATAGCCGCGGTTTGTGACGTAGGTGCGACGTGGAGGGAATCCCCGCGAGGGGCATGCTGGGAGTCCCTACTTCGCGATTAGTCGACTTCACTGCTCTGTAGTGACTTTTTATGCCTTTCAGCGACTAGTCGCTGTCACGTGATAATGAGCGACAAGATGCAGTCCACGGAAAAGACAGCAGCCTGCTGTCAGCAGGTGACAAGCTCCTGCGCGTCGGGAGGCCGTCGCTGTGCCAGAGCGTCGGTACTGACACCCGCCGTAAAACGGACATTTAACCAAATTGTGACCTTTACCCTCTTGCAATTTAACCTTCCCCTCACCCCCATCCTAACCTTAACCAGCGTGTGCATGCAAAGCTCTGATCGTTGACGCGCTCCAGACATCTGCGTCCTGAGCACGGCCACAGTAACATTATCAAATCAGGTGTCGCCACCTCAAAAACAAATTTAACACGCGATCGTTCATGTCGGCTCATTTCCTTTTATGTTTTCTGTCTTTCATTCTCTTATTTGTGCCTGATGTGTTTCGCTGCTGTGGATCGGGGCGCATCACCTGTTTAGTCCTCCAATAACTTCACCTCACTGATGTGGCCGGCGAGCAGCGAGCACTCCGCTGTTTTTGCGGTCGGTAGATCTTTTAGAACTGCAGTTCAAAGGTAACTCATGAGGTGAATATATATGAACCCAGGTAGCAGTTTCTCTTTAGGACTGAGAGGAGATGCAGGAAGATAATAAACAGGCAGGACAGAAAAATAGTCAAATAAAAACAAGTTAGTTTTTGTACCTGGTGGTTGCAACAAACAGACACCATTGAAGGTAATCAGAAGTGAGGAACAGAAAATGAAATAATTAATTTAATGTTTAGAGCAGCAGGAACTCCGAGAGGTTGCAGGCGCACTGCGCAGGGGGAGGGGGGAGAGGGCTGAAGCAGAAACTACCGTTGTTAAAAGAAATGTGTTTAACTTTGAAAATGTGGGCGCAATTTTAATTGTCAAAAACTCCAGCGAACCCCCCCCCCCCCCCCCCCCCGGCTTCAGGTGTATGACGTCATCAACGACTAGTCAAAGTCGACTCAATTTTCATTACTTGACAGTTGACTTCAGTTGTGCAGCCCCTACCAGAGAGGTGACATTTCATGTACCAAACCTAAACTAATCTAAACTAAAAGTTCATTCACACCATACCTCTAAAACCAAGTTTTAGGGTGCTTAGCATTGTGTGGACCAGCAAAATTTCCCCACAATGAGGAAATGTCCACATGTTACAGGTTAAAGTTAAAATTTGTCCACTTAAACATATAAAGACAAGTACACACACACTGACCAATCTCTATGTATGGCTGGAAGGGAAGGACTGCTGCCAGGACCAGTCTTCCAGTCCCAGGTACTAAGGAGCTCCGGATGTCCTGCAGCAGATGCAGAGGGTCATCACAGCGGTCCAGCAGGTTCAGACAGCTGATCACATCATACTGAAATCCAGTATTTTGCCACTCTTCTATTCCCAGCAATCTGTGCAGACAGGAAACAGAGAACATTACTGAAGCAACCACTGACCTAACATGGCTGATGCAGGTCGCCTCTTGTTGGTTCGCATACAGAGTGCAGACTCATTTCAGTTCTGATCATCCAGAAGGCTCAACAAACATAGATGCTCAGTGATGTGAATGTGCAATAGGGCTGAAACAGCTTATAAAAAGTGATCTGTTACAGCAACAGCTCACTGCACAAGAGAAAACCGTATAATGGACTGGGTGGGACAACACAAGGATCATAAACACCGAACAACAGAAATACAAAAGACGGATAAAGGAAGCTATCGAGATAAGGAGACATGGATGGGGGACCATGAACAGAGACGATGGAGTTTACTCATTGGATCGCGCATGGGACTGCATCATCGGAGAGGGGAGAGCGGGCAGCAGAGGGCGACAACGTCCTCTGCTGCCCGCGGATAAACGGAGTAGGAAGTGACGCTACCATCAGCGTCAGCTCTGAAGATGTTTGCAGCTGCAAACGAAAAGTCAGCAAGGTAAAGAAAAACCTTATTTGTGTTAAAAAAAAGAACCAAACATGGAATTTGAAGACAAACACAGCAAGAACGTACAAAAGAGGATTTATCTGTGTTCAATGAAAGCTTATTCCCATGGAACCATAGTTTGATTTTTTCCAACGCTGTTTGTATCACTTCTATCATTTGATCAATATTGTCTCCTGAATAATAAAAAGTTGTGTAATCAGCAAATAAGATACACCTTAACATATTAGATGCAGAGACAATATCATTTATATAAATAATAGTTTAAGGCCTAGTACTGACCCTTGTGGTACTCCACAAGTAATATTATACACCACCACCTTTTTTATTTTCCCGATTCTGGTAATACATCTCACATCTATTTGATAATCCTCAACATCTCCTTCTTGTAACCATGTTTCTGTAACTGCAATGACCTTAAATCTCATTTTATTTAGTGTTAAAAACACCAATATTTTATTATAATTGCAATGCAAACTTCTACTATTCTCTCTTTTCTTTTTCATCTTTTATTTCATTTAAAAACATAGTAACTTTAAAAAATAATCAAAAGAATGAATACATCTTACAATGCTTAAATGAAAAGGAGCAGATAGAAGAAAGTCTTATATGTAATCTGCCCCATTCACAGCCTTAGCAAAAAATAGACATACTCACTAACAAAGATGTCTGAGACAGCTGCCAAGCAGCGTGCCACTATTTAACAAACAATCCTTGAATGGAGTTTCAACACCTTAGTTCGAAATCATTGCTGATCAATACAGAAAAAATAAAATTAAAAGAAAAATACACTCAAGAGTATTCCATATAATTTCTTAACATATAGTTTTTTACATTCTGTTTGAGCATTATAATTGATCGGCCTCTTTCACTACGTGTTTCAGACTGTTCCATATCCTGACGCCATATACAGAAACACAGCACTCCAACTTTTTAGTCCTAAATCTAGATTTTATAAATATCTCGTACCCTTTTAAATTGTAGCAACTTAGTCTTTTTTTCAAAGTTAATTTGAATATTTATTGGTAATGATTTTTGTGATCTTCATACATGAATTTTAATATGTTATGATCCACTAAATCTGGAAACTTTAATACTCTTAACTTGGCTAATAATGGACCGGACGGTGCTCTATAATTACTCTGAGTGATGATTCTTACGGCTATTTTTTGTAGTAACAAAAGTGATTCTGTATGAGTTTTATTTATTGTTCCCCAGAGTTCAGTACAATAAGCAGTGTTGGGAGTAATGCAGTACAGAAGTAATTAATTACTGTAATGCATTGCTTTTTGCTGTAATGTGGTAATGTAAGGCATTACAGGGAAAGAAAATGGTAATATTTACTCGGTACAATTGTCAGTAACGCGGTAATTACAATGCATTTTAAACCCAGAATCAAGATGCGTTTCTTAAAAATTCAAATTGCGAGAAACCCGAAAAAAGATCCAGTATCTGCATATATTACGTCATTTATGGACTCAGCTTTGCGGGCAGAGAGGACGCCGCGGTAACGGCTCAGCTACTCCAGCTGTGTCCTCCACGCGGCCGTTGTAACATTCACAAAATCGCTCCACTAAAACAAAATAATTCACCTGCGATCGTTCATATCAGCGCATATTCTCTGGTATTTTGTACTTTTCTGACGTGCTTTGCCTCCGCTGAGTTAATCTGGGCCCCGGTGATTTTAACTCATTGCTGCTGGAGCGCCGCACGTGAAGATCCCTTTGGCTGATCGTTAGAAAGTAGGAAGTCTAGGAAACGGGTTTTCTGGAAGACGGAGAAAACATGCAGCATGCAGGTAGGTTAGAGAGAGAAAAGGCAGAAATTATTCAAATAAAATCAAGAAAAAACAAAGTGCTTGAAAAGAAGAAAAGTAGGTAGATTTATCCCCAATACACATGTTTACCAGTGAAAAGCAATAATATATAAGCATTTAATATTTATACATGTGATAGAATCAGATCACCCCAGAAGTCAGTCCCACATCCAGAGCCGTATCAAGGCATTTGGGGACCGAGGCAAATATAGGCTTGGAACCCCCACCACCTCACTCCCTGCTCAGTTAATCTAAGATGGCGGCGTGCTGAGAGTACAGATTGTTGTTGTTTTTATTTAATAAACAATCATTTTAAAGCACTGTTATTATATCTGACTGTTTTTAACAGCAATCCTAGCTCAGACACCACATCACCTTCCACCGGATGTGTCATGAGCTCACAGGCATCAGATTACCAAACTCATACTGAAGTTGTTTTGTTGAAAGTAACTTAGAGTAATGCAAAAGTAGTGTAATGCCATACATTTTAAAATCAGTAATATTGTAATGTAATGAATTACTTTAAAATGAGGGTAACAAGTAATAAATAATGCATTACAGTTCTGAAGTAACTTGCCCAACATTGACAATAAGTCATATATGGTGCAATCAAGGAAAAATATACTTGAAGTAATGCTTTTTTATTTAAAATTTTCTATTTAATGCAGTAAACCAATTGCTCTGGCCATTTTTGTTTTTACACCATAACATGTGGCTTCCATGTAATATCTTCATCGATAATGACCCCTAGAAACGTAATTTCCTTCACTCTTTCAATTTTAAAATTTTCTATAGCTAATGACATGTCACTGTTTGCTCCTCTTGTTCCAAATACCATAAACTGAGTTCTCTAAAAATTCAGGGATAGTTTATTGACATTAAACCACGGTTTCAATTTTACTAGCTCTGACTGAATTACTTCTCATATTTTCTAGATTGTCACCTGCCTAAAAGAAGGGTGTATCATCAGCAAATAAATGTAATTCATCAATTTAGATATACTTGTGATATCATTGATATTGAAGTGGATGATGGACAGTGTATCATTCACCAAAGCACAGTCACGCAATTCTTGGTCGCTATAGTATTTGCATTTATTGTTATGCATGTACAGATATTGCAGAGCGGCGGCAGCCAGCACAGCCCTTCAACATCCAAAGCCTTAAGGAAATGTGGGTGAATCTCATCCACTCCCGCAGACTTGCCACTGAGGAGCTTTTTGACAACCTCATTGACCTCAGCACCAGAGATTGGAGAGACCAACCCAAAGTCCCCGGACTCCGCCTCCTCACTGGAAGATGTGCCGGTGGGATTGAGGAGGTCTTTGAAGTATTCTGCGCACTGATGCACAACGCCCCGAGTCGAGGTCAGCAGCACACCATCCCCACCATACAGTGTTGTTAGTGCACTGATTTCCCCTTCTGAGGTGCAGGATGGTGGACCAGAATCTCCTCAAAGCCGTACGGAAGTCTTGTTTCATGGTTTCACCTAACTCCTCCCATGCCCAAGTTTTTGCCTCTGTGACCACCCGGGCCGCATTCTGCTTGGCCTGGCAGCTGCCCCTAGAGTCCCACAGGCCAAAAAGACCCGATAGGATTCTTTCTTCAGGTTGACGGTATCCCTAACCGTCGGTGTCCACCAGCGAGTTCCAGGATTGCCACTACGACAGACACCAACAACCCTGCGGCCGCAGCTCTGGTCAGCGAAAATGGAAGCAGGGAACATGGCCATTCCGGACTCAAAGTCCCCCGCCTCCCCCGGAACGTTTTGGAAGTTCTGTTGGAGGTGAGACTTGAAACTTATTCTGACAGGAGACTGCCAGATGTTCCCAGCAGACCCTCACAATACATTTGGGCCTGCCAGGTCTGACTGGCATCTTCCCCCACCATCGAAACCAACTCAACACCAGGAAGTGGTAAGTTGACAGCTCTGCCCTTTTCTTCACCCGAGTGTCCAAGACATGTGGCTGCAGATCAGATGAAACAACAAAGTCGATCATTGTGCTACGGTCTAAGGAATCCTGGTGCCAAGAGCATAAATGGACACCTTTTATGTTTGAACGTGGTGTTCATTATGCTACACAATTTCTGACAACCCTGATCTCTAGCCTCCTTCAGAAGTTTATTCCTGTAAGGCACAGGTGTCAAACTCAGGCCCTTGGGCCACATTTGGACAGCAGTCTATTTCAAATATCAAATATATATTAAAACTGGCTCGCCAGACGATTTTGCAGCAAAGACGACAAATCCCATAGTGCTTTGCGGCATTTGTGCATCTCTCCTTTCTGTTTACATTCATTAGCATCCACACTACTACTCGGCGTCTGCAACATTACCTCCTCTGCCTCGGACAAACTGAAAACACTCCTCTTACTCAGCGCAGAGTTTACTCAGAAATTTGCCAAATCTAAAGCCCAGAAATGGATTTTAAATGCTCAGTTCCTTTAAGCATGAACATAACTTGCTTTTCATTGCGATTGAACCCACGCTCCTTCGGTTTTTCCACAAGCTGCTCGTAAAGGTATCTGTCCTCCACAGTCCACGTGAACTGTCTGGTGATCTGAGCTCCAGCTCTAATGGAGAGAAGCTCCTGAAGATCTGAATTACTCCAGTTTTCATCTATCTCAACTGATTTTGTTTACAAAAGCTAAACTTACAG